CTGAGCACCCAATGCTGACGGAATTAACCAACCTGTGTTACGTTGGCAAAAGTGCACTGATTCAAATGGCGCTTATTTCGATTGAATTGAATAAGTATTCATTGCGTTATTACACTTTAAAGTAGACTCATTAAAACGGACAAAAATTTCGAAACAACCTAATATTTCTGTTGAACGGGACATTTTCACGATTTTTGTTAAAAAAAGTGTTGTCCATGAGTTCGAATCAAATCAACCTTATCATCGCGGTTGATTCAATCAGTAGACAGAACCACTTATGCTAACCAATCAATCAACCGGCTACCGCGTGATCAATCCACATGGATTAATTTATTTTAAGAAGCACGTTTGCATTAAAAATGAGCCACATGTGATTTTCAGTGTGAAAATTGCTTGAAGAGTACACAGAGCGATGTATATTGTTCTGAGGAGTTCAAAAATTATTCAGAAATCTGAAGACACAATTATTCATAACTGTACGTCGTTACAGTATTATGATACGTCCATTTCCCATTGTGACGTCCTATAGAAAACGAATAGAAATTTGTAGATCGCATATGGTAATGAAGAAAATAATTTAACATCGTAGGCTGCGTTCATTTCTTTTTATAACCATTGCAACTGGATCTACGTACTACACATTTCATTCGCTTAGTCACATAGAATATCGTAGGTATATCTACCCACGCTGGCTTTGTTTCATGTGCTTACATAAGAATCGTCAATTTAACTGAACATAACTCAGACTTTAATGAGCTTTGCCGACTGGAAGTTTTCCAAAACTTAAGAGTTCTGTAACGATAATAATGAAGCTCTAATGATAATAAAATAAAATCTACTTCAATGATAGAGAGAGAAAGAGATAAAAGTAAAAAAAAATGCCGAATTGTGCGGGTATATTCGCACGACGAATATTCAAGAGCAATCGCGAGGAACAAAGATATTTGAATATTGTAAGTAAACAGAATATCGTAAATGAAATACTATAGGTGTTTCTATTTACAGGAGGGCAGAAGAAATTCTCTAGAAAATAATCATGATTTTTGAGGTCTGAATTCATAGTTAGGAAAACGTACAATCTGTATAACCAAAGCTGAAACTTTTACTGGCGATAGGTGGAGATATCAACATTAGTTATTCTAGTACAAGGTATTCTATAACTGAAGCTCTCGCAGGACTGATCAAGGAAATATGGTCTTCAGACTCATCGTTGGTGACCGTGGTGAACATATGTTCCTCAGAGTCAGATACAGAAATTTGCTTCTCGATTTTTTAGTTACGAGCAGCGAGATGCTCAGAAGTTCCTCTGATATCTTTTGGAAGGTTATCACGAGAAATTAAGGAGAATCTCTGAAAAGTCTGAACAAATTTATATAGGAATTGATGAAAAATCAAATGACAGAAAAAAAGCACAAGAGCATTCATCTAAAAATTTAGGGAAGATTTGGATGTGAATGATTGTGTTGAAATGTATATATTGTGATCACTTCTAAGTACTGTTGATCCCTTCTGAGGTTTATCGCTTCTCGTACCACTAATAACTAGTAATCTGAAATGAACACAATGTTTGTATACATTATTAATTATTATTAATTTATTTATTCAACGGCAAAGCCAATTTACAAAAACATATTCAACTGAAAAATAGATTAAAAATTGAAAAAACTGGTTGTGATATTTTTATGACATGAAGTCATTAAACTTTTGTAGAGGAATATGTACCATATGTTGGATTTTCTTCCACTGGAAAAACTGCTTCTGAGTTCTTTCAATTATAGAAAAATATCTGCCTTTATCAAACTTACATATGCATCTGTCTGTCTGAACGTGATAAACTTGAAATCTACCGAACGAATTTCCATAAGTTTTCAATATTGAACAGAGTGATTCAAAACAAAGTATCGATGTTGTGCGTAAATATAACGATGTTATTCGTATGAAGTCGGGGTGGCAGTGTTATCAATGCGAAGCCGGGGATTATTCTCCGAAAGAGCTGCCTAATTCCTATAATATTTGACTACATAATGTTTGTGTATTTATGCTTTTTGGAACTGTTTTGATTTAATGATTTCCTTAAAGAATTAGATACAGTTCCGAATGGAATCAAATAGTTAAATCGTAGATACTCTAAAAGATCATAGTGTAGAATAGTCTTGTATGACCTTGTTGACAGGGTGTTCCATTGAAAAAAAGAAAAAATTGATTCCCAGTTTCAATTATCCACTCAAAAAAATTATGTATAGGAAATGAAACTATTCTCAACGATATCTGATTGCAGTATTTTCTCATTCCCTTCGACCGAGTATACCATATTGCGAGTGTCTCTTTGGAACCAACTGATATAAACCCAAATAACGATATATTCTCTAAAAAAACATTTGAGTGAAAATACTCAATTTGAACACCTTGTATATTGATGGTTGTATTCAGAACATAGCCTTCATTACTAGCTTAAATTTTTATTTGATAGAAAATACTGTCTTCTACCACCCATCGTTGCTACACCCTGTATATTGATGGAGAAGTAGAAAAGTAGAAAGCTGCGAACGCTTTTTGTCCACAGGACGTTTCATAAAACAACTAAATAGAAAGAATAGTACATGATAAGGAGCCTTACTCCAAGTTAAAGAAGAGGTATACATAGGGTACACATAAGTAAATTCGGCAATCATAGATAAATACTCAACGGGTATGAATATATGAGAGCTATTTTTCGGTTTGTTAGCCATGGTCTGCAGGTATTCATGCCTGGCGTTTCGTCTACGATTGTAGTAGACATAATCTATATATCTGATCATTCCCAAAGAAGATATTGCAGTGTTCGCAGATCAGTATTTGGTTTGAGGACAACCAGAACACTTTTTCCATTGCCTCATAGTCTCTGATGATATATACCGCAGTTGTATACGAAACGCCAGGCATACAAACCTGCAGACCACGACTCTATAACATCACTTTTCATCTTTCTGGGTGGAAAAACGAAGGATTATTTTCAGTCACAAGAAATTCAATGTCAAAACTTTTTGAGTTCACTCAGTCGTATACTTACTTAAACTCTATAATACCGTTGTGTGATGAAATTACGCAAATTCTGTGCAGTGTCTATAACTGCAAATACGTAGACAAAGGCTAACCCGAATCCTGTCTGCGATAATTTATTTACAAACAAAATTTTTAACCGGATACAAACCACGCCATAGTTACACTAATGGAGATGTGGGTGTCAAACCCAGCCACACAACTGCAACGGAATATCGACTTGATAATTATTGATACATTCATTTCGCAGTACTAATAATAATAATTCTGGTTGGTTGGGTAACAGGATCAATTTTTTTTAACAATTATTTTCTTGCGAACATTTCGAATTTGATTGAATTCTTCTTCAGGGCTAGAAAACTAGCTTTTTCGTGTTGATAACATTACTAGCACACGAAGAAATTACTTTTCGAGTCCTGAAGAAGAATTTAATTGAATTCGAAACGTCGGTAAGAAAACAATTGTTTGTGTTGATAATATTACTATTACACGAAGAAACTACTTTTCGAACCCTGAAGAAGAATTTAATTAAATTCGAAACGTCGGCAAGATAACAACTGTTTGTTTTAAGAAAAAATGATCCTGCTACCCAACCAAAAATCTTCAGAATAATTGTTGGATCACTGAACTAGTTCACTGAATATGTATATTTGGATTGAAATCTTGATAGTAGACTAGATACAATGATAATGATGTTTCATACTTGAAGCAATCGTAAACATTCTCTTGGAATAAACCATCATAATTACTGGAACTTAGGAAGCTTATGCGTCATATTGTGTATTACATTGTACATTGAAATATTCTGTATATTCATCCATGAGTTTGATTATTTGTCCACAAACAGTTTGTGTCTGGATGTGCATGATCTACACATCTCTATAAATAATTTATTTTGAAATTAATTGCTTTCTACCTTTCTTTGAAAGTTTCCCACATTTCATTGTATAATGATGGAGAAGTAGAAAGCCGAAACTTTGTTCCCATGAATCCTATTATTTTCCAAAATACGGCTAACCGACGGTCATCCCGCTATACCTCGTATAAATCGTTTGAAATTATTTTCCATTTTTCAGCAAAACATCATTCAGAAATAAAACCTATATGAAAATTAAAATTTTAAGCACAAGAAATGGATGGTAGCAAAACGAAACAACTGAAATCGTGGTTTCATGAAAAAAATCATTATTTTTCTGCAATAGTCGGTATGCCTCTTTGATACTTGATATTGATTGCTGTGATTTTTCAAACTCATTTTCTACTAAGACTGCTCAGGCAAACTTTAAAATGAGAATTTTAAATGTATCATAACCTCAAATGAACAGAATCAGTACGAATCATATATTCTACACATTCTTTCTGATTAAGTGAGGTTTCAAGAAGCGTTCTATAATACCTCAACCTAATCTACGTTGCAATGACAAAAGGTGAAATCTAGTTAGGTAAGATTTTGGCGTTTCAATTTGTATTGATCAAAATATATCGATCAATGATATTGACGGTCTAGGAAGTGCCTCATATATAAGAAATTGAGAGGTTGAGGTTTACATTTTCACAGCTGAACTCCTCTTATCGTCTTTATATCAACATATACCTTTTCATGTTGAGGATAAATTCAGAGGACTTTGTTTCAACTCCTAACAACAGATACATGAATATTAGGTTTACGAATGAAATTGAAATCAACAAGGATTCACAATTCTTGGGTATCTTGATGATTAGAAGTAACCAGGGTCTAGGATTTGATGTCTATTAGAACAATACCAGTGATTTTAGATATACATATTCTTGATAGCTAGGCTGACACCATTTTCGTCAACACAAAATGGCAGGTCTAAACTTTCGTGTCCATAGGCTTGTTACGATATTGATAGAAATATTATCAGAGGTATCATTCAAATGTAGTAGATAAGTTAATAAAGAAACGTGAAATAGAAAAGACATTCAAGTTTCAACCATACCTTTGGCATTCCAGCGACAATGATGACATGTGTAGGCCTTCTGATAAGCGGAATTGGTAAAGGCAATTCCCCGTGCTTGGCTCTAGCAGTCAGAGATAAAGCGGTCAGTTTTGCGTGGACTCCCAGATGGCTCATCATGACAGCAAAAGCCGGTATTACGTGAACCATCGTTATTCGGCCAATCATGAGTCCTCTTTTCCACGGATGTTTGTATCTCGAGATGATTTGAAAAGATGCCAGCACTGCTGCAGACAGCCAAGTAGCTGCTACGGCGATACTCAAGACTTGGCGTCTAGTCGCTACTTGACCGATTGGCCTGTAGTTTTTAACGGTGAAGTATCGATCCACCGAAAGGGCCATCATCGAAAGCGTACTCGCAGAAACCGGGAGAGACTGAAACAAAAAATCTGGTTATTCATTTGTAGATGTGAGAATGCAGACTTATTTGAAATATGTTTGGGAAGATCAATCAATCAATCAATCATCATTATCGTCATTGAAAGTTAACAGTCCAAAACAGGCACAAGCACTTTACTTTTCTTTATCTTTTGAAGACGTTAACTCGGTTGGTGAAACTCGCGTCGAGAAGAGTATTGAGAAGAGTATAAAACTGAATCAGTTTTATTGAAAGTTAACATTTTTATAAACAATGTGAGTTCGTTTATTTGATGTACACGATGAAATCACTAGATGTTCACAGAGTTTCTATTGGAAAACTAAAAATAATACATACATTTGAAAAAATGAATTTGGGTAGGCCTAAAATGAGTGAGTCTATTCGACCCCTCACTGTAATCCATAATTGTTGATCAGATAAACCCAGCTTCTTAACAAATCGCATTATTTAATTGTTTTAGTAATATTTCAGGTGATATTTGCCAACGGTGATGCAGCTAGAGATTTGAGCATGTGACCTGGTACCAGGGCCTGAATTTCTTCATGGGGGAGATAATCCACACCAAGTAGAAATAATCACTTCAAGATTTTCCTCATTCGAATGAGGACCTGATCGGCAGTCAGTCTGTTTTCCTACGTTAGTTGAGTAAGCAACACAAATGTGTGAATTAAGAAGGAAATCTCCTGTGATACACTTCAAGCAGGCGCCCTTTCATGGCTGCAGGGTACTAAGTGCATTCACAAGCCAGGAGACAGTCTCCTGATTCTCTCAGGTAACTTGTAGCATCCAGATCACAACCTAACCTTACAAATGGCAGAATTAAATATTTGCACAGGATAAATCGAAGCAGGAATTGCAAAGGCTGATTCTCAAAAGCTTGGAACACTTGAATTGAAGGGATATATTTTTAGGAGTGATTAATTTTTAGGAAAGAAAGTTTTTGGCTTTCTGCTACTCCATCTTAATACAAAAAAAGGATGAGGGAATCTTCCAAAGAAAGGAAGGAAGTAATCAATTTGAAAATAAGTAATTCTATACATGGATGTGTAGATCATGCAAAGAAGTAACTTTCAGACACAAACTGAAAGAAAATCCTCCTGAAACAGCTACTTTCATATAAACATTGAATTACACGAAAGTTTATTTCACTATTATTTCATTTCAGGTTTTTTGCTTAATATAATTGTTTTTTCCAGTTATTTTTTTTATTCTTCTTCTTTAATTCTTAATTTCTTGTGTTTTAGTTCTTTCAGGGATTTCAAATAATTTTATCAGACAATGGAAGTCCAAACTGATGAAATTCATCATGAAACATCGTCAATCACCTTGAAACATATTGAGAGGTTAATAAAGATTCTAAAAATATGATAGAACTGACCGGTACCTGATGAGAATCCATTATAACGTATTTGAAAACACACTTCAATGTGATATTTCCACTTGAAAGATTACAAAACCGAAACACGTGTATCGCTATAAAATATCATCTCCAGGTGTCATGCCCGAAGACACGTTTTTCGCTATACAATAGCGAATATGCTATTGTATAGCGAAACACGTGTCGCGGTTTTGTGAACTTCCAAGTGGAAATCTCACATTGAATTGTGTTTTTTGAATACGTAAAGGTTTTAGACAGGTTTAGTGAGTTCACGAGTGAAATTGACAGATCAACTATTTCAAGATTCGTTGTTCAGAAAATATTACGGATAAAGAATATACGCCAAATTATACCTTTATTAGGTAGCTTACAATACTCTCCTAGACTTATGTCAGATACAACAGACGATGTTCATCCCCTTTATGAGTTGTAAAAACTGAAATGAGCGGAGAAAAGATTCATTTGATGAGAAAGTAAAAAATTAATTACTCCTACACGTGTTTCAGTGCAATATACTCGTAATTCTTGATGTTAACGATAGATAGCAACAATCCTGTCTTACAGTCAGTTTTATCAAGTGGAAACTGTATTGACACCAACATTTCAACAATATATTCGATAATATTTCGAGAGGAAGCAATTGAACCTCACTGCCTGTTTATATATACAGAAATAGGCATTAATGTCTAATCAACAAGTTCAAAAACATGAAAAATAGAGATAAAGGTCCTGAAAATATGAGCGCTTGCTCATTCGATTCGGAATCACCTCTAGAAAAATGTTTTTTAAGGATTTTGGTGCAGGTAAAAAATTGCAATTGTTATTAACAAAATTAGATTAAAAAAAAAGGTATTTAGTTTTTTGAAAAAAGATCGTTAAAGAGGAGGAAATTTCCGATAAAAAAGTCCCGATTCCCGAAATCAAGTTTATAAAAAATGTCTTGAAACCAATAACAGAGATGTTTATGTGTGACTGTTTTGTTTGTGCCACTCAAATTTTTTCTTCGTAATTTGTTTTGCAAACTTTGGAATGTAGGAACATTTTTGAAATAAGTGAATTTAGATCATTCCCACTTTTATTTCAATTTAAGAGCCACCAGTAGACAGCTGTTTCAGCCTGTTGAGCATCGTCAGTATCGGGCAGGTGGTCCTCGATTGAAGACAATATGTGAAAAACCAAGAACAGTACTTTTAACAGTACAGTGTCACCCAAGTTAGCGGTTTCATATAATTTCTAGAAACATGCGGATTCGTTTTATGATGGCATTCCAGGATAGCCTCCCAAAATTCTGATATCGCAGTTGTCGGTTGATTGGTCAAACCACCAAAACTAACATAAAACACTTGGCAAGTTGACTTGGGTGTTAAACCAGTAGGTGGTTCCACGTATGTCTCGCTTACGTTTACGCAGTTAAGTGCTCTTCTTGGTTGTTCACATTTTGTTTTCAATCGAGGACCGCCTGCCCGGTACTGACGATGCCCAATAGGCTGAAACACTTGTCTACCGGTGGCTCTTAAATTGAAATCAATATGGTGTGTTGTTTTCCAAGATATCCAAGATATCCAAAACTATATTTCTGATGTATCACCTCGACTTCAAATAATCAATATATATTTAAAAGTTTCCCACCGTATCTTTTTTTGCCTGTTTGAACGCGCTACATTCGGAAACTATCGAAAGGATATGCGTACGGTTTTCACCAATGGACGGAGTTATATTTATGCGTAAATTTTAGGATGTTTTGTATGAATTGGTTGAAATATGACGATGTTATCCGTGAGAAGTCGTGGCGGTGGTGCTGTTCTGCGAACTTTCTCAAAAACACTGCCCAATTTGTTCGACAAGACAATTCACTACATATAGAAAAAACCTTTTTGGATTTCGTCGCCTTAATTTCTTTGTATGATTTCCTAAGAAAAAAAAACGGTCATGTTCAAAATTGACTGTTTTCAAAATTGTGTACATTATGCATAGGAGCTACTTTCAGATACCAGCTTGAATAAGAAGCCCTCCCGAAACAACTACTTTTACAAGAACATTGAATTACACAAAAGAAAAAGTACTTTATTTTCATAAACTACACCTTACGATTTGATCTCCACACACTTTATTTGCTAACCCAGTTGACTCAGTAGCTTCTTCAACAGTGATTGAAGAAGATATTGTGTTAGCGAAACATGTCGTGATATATTTTTCAAATAAAGTTTGTGGCGATCAAATCATGAGGTAGAGTTTATGAAATTACTATGGATCTTCATCAAGTAACAGCCGAATCAATCAGAAAATTTTGCTTTAGTACTCTTGTACTAGTACTCTTGTACTAGTACTTTTGTACTAGTACTTTTGTACTACAAATATTGCGGAACTGAAACAGATATAAATCATTGGAACACTACGAGTAAACAATAATATATGAAACGGGTACAATATAAAATTTCGGCTACCCTATCATTCCCAACAGCGTACTTCAAAGTTTCGGAATAAGGCACCTGTCTTGATACCTCTTCAGCACCGTTTTGGATAACATTCCAAAATGAAGCACTCAAGTCATCAATTCATTCATATTGTCTCGATTGAAAGAGGTGTATTTTCAGAAAATATTAGTTTTTGGAAAAAATACATATCAAATAAATACGTTGGTCACCTCAAGCATTTCATGCTAATATCTTAGTACGAGAAAATAAATTCAAATGACTTCAGGTGGATAGCTGCTTAATTGTTTGAAAATAAAAATTGATAGTTGAAATGACACATTTGTTAGACTGAAGTTCATCAAATGTTATTATTATCAGTTACAAGCTGGGGTACCCAGTTTCGCTCAGGAAGTTGATATGATATTGTGTGGTAGTTGAATAAAATGATAAACATTAAATTGAAAGATATCGACAAATCTTGCTTTCTATATCCCTAATAATGGGTAGCCCACTCGTATAGAATAGTTCATTTCCGAATTTCTTTTTTCAATTGGAATTTCATTGATTGTGTTTCAAATGAGAACGGTGAGAGTGTGGCAGAATTATGTGAAGGGAAACGTGTTTGTTTTACGCGATTGAATCATATATCCAGGCTTTCCATCTCGATAGACTAGACCCTTTCAATTTTACATGTCTGGGTATGATAACAACTAATGTTCATTATGTAGAGATTTTCTTGCCCGCGAGTCACATTTTACTCAAAAAGAAGTAATTTCATAAACTACACCTTTTCAGAGCATACACTTTTCATATGCGATCCATGCATATGAAAAGTGTATGCTCTGTGTCATCTATTTCTCCGCGGTATGGATATTCCTCACTTTTCAACCTCAGTCGATTGAACAAGTATTTCCTGAAGCAGCCATGCTCAGAAATTGCTTATGTTATGAAATAGCCCACTTCATCATATGGTCTACACGCGCACTCACTTATGTTTGATATCAACTGATGTGTCCATCTCCCCCTTTTTCTGTTGGTCCACATGTTTTTTGCCAACGTGACATAAGGTTGTTTCTTGCGGTTATTCTATCACTCCTTCTGTATCGATATCACCTTTCTTCAATGAAGAGTTCTTTAGAGGGTATTCCTTACTGCATCTATAGGCGGAGTATACCCTGATACAGAGTTTGCACTTAATGCTGGCAAATTTCAAAACAATTTTGTTGTTACTAGTCATCGTCTGTCAGGCTGGTGCGGCATATAGTATATGAGACTGGACTACATTCAATAATGCTTTTCTTCTTTTGGATGCTCCAGCTCCTCCCATATCAGACACGAAGGAGAACAATGCCGTCACTGTTTTCTTCACTTCTTGCGAAACTATTTCTATGTGTTCAGCGAAGGTCAGCTTAGTATTTAGCCGGACTCCTAGGAATTCTACTGCTTTTTTTTGAAGCACCGCAACACCTTGTACATCAAATTTTTCAATTTGTTGTCTGGAAGGCCGCTTTTGTTTTGTGGAGGTAATTCAAGTTCCTTGTTTTCTAACCAGTTTGATACCCCCTGAAGTGCAGTGTTTGCAGTGGTTATTAGACTCTCTTCGCCTTTGGCTATCACAACCATAGCAATGTCGTCAGCGAATTCAGTCAGCGTGACTCCATCTTGTTGTTTCAGTCTCAGAAGACCATCACATGAAATGTTCCAGAGCATTTATCCTAGAACGGATCCTTGAGGTACATCGTTTCTAATTTATTTTTTTCTCACAGTATTATCTGCCTCCATGATGATCTCTCTCGCACTGATAAATATGACCCCAATAGACCAAATAGGCACTCGTTAACACGTTTTATTTTCAACTTCACCAGGATTTCATGCCGTCTAACCTTATTATCACGCGCCATCTCTGACGTGGATTCTCCTGCCTACATTGCGAGGTTAACCACGTATTCTATACCACCCACTGTTTGTTTTCCCTCTACAAATCTAAACTGACGCTTCGATGAACCACCATGTTGTGTAACATCGTCCTTAATTCAATATTTAAATCAATGAATAGTTGAAAAATATCAGTCACCACGATATGTTATTGGAAAAAATATATATTTTTGTATATTTATGCATGTTTCATTCGGATACAAAATACGCGTTGTAGGTTCAAAAACACTTGAATAAATATCGTGAATACAGTTGCTTGTTCTCATCGGTTATGCCGATAACAACCGTCCTCAAAGATGGCACGTCAGGCACGTGGATGTTGTGGTCGGAGTGGAGCCCAAAAGTGAGGTGTTTTTTAAAAAATTCGAAAAAATATTGAAGTGAATGACATTTTGAGAGGATTAGCGTCCCTCTACGCCAGTAACCAGGCTGGACAGAAGGAGTCCGGCCAAATGCGATAGACTGAGAAGCAACGGCCATATAAATTGAAGAAGAAGAAGCTGACTTCAGGGTGTTGATTTTTCGTGACAGTGTGCGCGCGCATTGTAGAAATTTACTCACATCATTTTTCCTTAACGCGCTAAAAGAAGTATAACTTCAAAAATTATTTCTCCCCTAACATCTCCCAATCAGCATTCGATTATGAAACACACTGTATATTTCAAAACTGGTAATTTCATTGTTGCATCCATTCATCTTCTCCCAGATTCCAAATCAGTTTGGAAGTCCGAACCTCTAACTTTCAACGAGAAACATGGTCAACAAGTTAACGTTCGTAACCGCGAATCTGAGTTTTGAATTTTCCCTCCTGCTAATAGAAATGATTGAAGTCGTAGGCGCATTGCAGGAAATCTAGTGGGGCGTTCACGTCAAGACCCACGTTAAACTTTGGTCGCATTTAACTGGTAGCTCTTTATACATTTACTACTGTCACTTAAGGACTTGACAGGGGTTTTGGTGGATTGACAGTGACTACTTTTCCTATAGTTCAAAAACTAGTTAGAACAGTTTCTCTGGAAAATCTAGAATATGCATTACATCACTTGAATTTAGTAAACGTTTCTGATAAATCATTCCTAAGCTCTGGTAGTTTAAAATTCTCCAACGAAAGCAGACACAAGTTCACTAAAACTATTTTCTTCTTTCCAAGAGAACTTCATACAGACTGGTGCACTGGAAACGTGATAGAACGTAACAGAGGCACTTTCGGACTCTTGGTGAGAAAAAAACACGCGGAGAGTTCAATTTTCAAATATCTATAAGGGGCTAACGGCATCTCTAAATTTTAAATAGGAAGTAGGAACTGAGTTCCTTTTTCCGGTATTTAATAATTCACATTTCCACTACAAAATCTCAGCATATCAATAACTTCATTTCTGTTTATTAAAATTAATTTCCTCGTTAAAGTGACAACAATAAAGTAAAAAGTTGATGGGTAGAATTGGGATCTATGAAGAAAAATTGATCTATTTTGAACACTTTTCCACACACGAGAACTTGTGTGTTTCGCCAACCAAATTTGTGTCATCAGGAGATGAGGAACAGTTTTTTTAGAAAGGTTTATTGAGTAACATGATTGTTGGATCATCAAAAGCAAACATGTGTCCGTATTCTCTTTCATGTCCATCGAGGGCTGGGTTTTTTATATTAAGGTTCTCAGAATCTCTCATGTGTTCTGAAACTCGTGTTTTGAGATAACGTCAGGTTACCAAGAAATTCTCTTATGAAATAATTTTCCAAGATCCATTATCCGGAAAATAATCAGGGGAAAAGGGTCCCCGAGTCTGGTTGAGATACGTTGACAACACCTTCATAGTATTGAACCATGGGAATACAGAACTAGACAACTTTCTGAAGCACATTAACCTTCTATCACCTAACACAATGTTGAAGTCCACAAAGAATTGCCATTTTTAGACGTATCGTTGAAGAGCACCGACACTAAATGGGAAACATCTGTATCTCGAGAAGGAGCTAGACATCATCAAAAATGATCTTCAATGGAATGGTTACTCCAAAGCGATGGTGGAACATATTTTAGCTAGAAGACAGCAAGAGCCTCACAAGGAAGAGAAACCATCACAACCATTGTTTGCTCTTACACCAGAGAATTGTCGGAAAGGATAAGAAGAGTTGTCAAGTACAACATCAGTACCTGCTTCAGATCCGAAAACACTATTCGTAGCAGCCTCACGAAAACCAGACCGCCAAACGCGGAATACGACTCCAAGAATTGCATTTACCGGATACCCTGTGAGTGCGGAAAATTCTATATTGGTGAAACTAGGAGGCCATTGAATGTTCGCATTGCCGAGCACAAGAAACACACACAGCGAGGGGAAACCAGCAAATCAGGAATAGCAGACCATGTTTGGACCCATCAACACAACATCGAGTGGTCCCAAGCTGAGATCATCCACAGGTAGGAACACTGGTTCAAGAGGAAGTCCAAAGAAGCTGCATATATGTTGTCTAACGACCCATTCAGCCCGAATAGCGTAGAGATACACAACATATGGAAACCTGTAATCAAGCGGATTAAGTGTCTCCTGCTAAACCGATGACGCGGGGAGAGGGGCGAGGTAATAGTTACAAAACAATTTTTTGGGTCATTTTGGTAGGAATAAGTAAGTACTTTCATTTTATTCAGTGGGCGTCATGAGAATAATTCTGTGAACCGAAAATAAATTCTAGAAAGTCGGCACGAAATTTCAGTGAACTGGATGAGCGTTTAATGAAAAAGAAAACTGCGAAAACCGTGTCAAAAATGAAGTAAGAACAGTGGAAATTTTAGGCCAAGTTTATCTACATAAAACGTTGAATGCCCGTCAGCTGTCAACTATTTTTTTGGTATTTATCGATGCATCATTCAGATAATTCTGAAAGAACGTTAATTTCTAAGAAATAAAGTTAGTACAAGAGCTGGCTGAAGACGATTTCGATCGCTTATTCATAAATCTGTGAGTTTATGACTGGGCGAATATGAAATGAATATGAACACTTTTTATTCAATTTCTGTGTTTTTATCGAGCATTCGATTTTATTAAATGGTATTGTAGAAATTCATATCTGCAGATATACGTGCCATACGAATCTCAAATCACTTGTCCTCAAATCCTTAACTTTTGGGCTGGTATTCTGTATGACCTTTTTCTTACTCCGAAATCTACTGACAATTATTAGATCAATCAATTATTCAAACTCAGTTCGTTAGACGACTCTATCATTCCAGCATTGATAACTATAATTAGAAATGATAATAGGATGGAAACAGATTGTTATTCCATTACTCAATACCTAAAGGAGAATGATTTTCCCACTTTCCCAGATCGACGGATTGGAATAATAATACACAAAAATAATAAGTTCATCCATCACAAACAGATACAAAGTTGAAAAACAGTTTAGATGACAAAAAAACATAGATTTTGTATGACAGGTTTATCGAAAAAATGTTTTCGGTAGTTGTTGGGAAAAATTGTTAATTCAATATATTCATTCTAACGTATGTTCTAGGGACTATTGAAGACTCAATTTTTAACATTAGGTAGGAGGTAATTATATCAAGATCTTTCGACAGTTCATGAAAGAGCTTTAAAAGATGTTTCTGATAAAACATTCAACTGTTTAGGCTACTATAACTTCTATCTATGTGTGTTCAATATATTCTAAGGAATCTGAAGCCGCCCCTGTATGCCGTCCAAATCATGTAACAAACATCATCGCGAATGAATGCAGTCGGCAACCGCCGGTGAAACTCTAGAACCGAACCGACTACAGATTTCTAGAAAGGACCATTTTCATTTAATAACCTGCTATGTTGACAGTGTCACATTCAGCAAGTATATAATATAATTATGTCTTCTAGTCCACTCAAAACATTCTACATAATTTGCATTAGGAGGGCGGCACAAAATACCAAAGAAGTGAGTTCCACTCACTCAGTGATCTTAACAATAATTCAAAGCTGTTTTAAGACTTGAATAATCTTGGATGAAAGAATAGTATATTTGAGGTCAATTCTGAGAAGAAAGAGGGGAAATATTGAACGACATCCACGTTTGCCGGATTTGCTACCATTATATTTTTCTATATGGGGATGATGTTTTCAGAAAAGTATCTAATGAATGATGAGCAAAAATCAGGTAGTCACAAGTATGCATTTTTCTGGAATATACATTTCAGACTGTCCACGCAAATGAAATCGCGGCAACAGCTACTATTATAATAATTTCATATCTGAAAGTATAGTTTGGAATCTCTTTATACCACAAGTCAAATCTCCGTTTATTGAAAACTCACGTTTCTGCACACTTTAAAAATGATCAATAAAGGCCGTATACATTTCTTTTCGATTATGAATTTTTGAAACCGCTCTAAAGCTGGTTCAGATAACTTATGCAAAAGTTAATTTTATTCTGTTGTCAATTACGTATTTTTGACATTTCAATATTTTGTAGTGAAAATATGGCTGATTGAATCAAGTCTGTTCCAAATTCAATCACTATCAACTTTAACTGACTCGACTGAAAGCTCAATACCCGAAGATCAAAGAATAAGCGAGGCTCATCAAGGCGGCCTTCTGCAATGACAAACTTTGACTTCGACCGCCGAATGAGATTCGTCCTCTGTCTTCTATTGCAGCTTTCACTGAAAGTTAACTACACAAAAGCAGAGCCCAACTTTCGGGCTCTCGTTTTAGCTAGTTGCCTTGCTGTGAAACACAGAAAACAAATCTTGTTCTCGCTTTTGGGAGTCTTGTTTATCAATGATAT